TAATTATATATTGATTGATTTAATTTTTTAAATTAAGAATATTTTAATACTTTTAATATGAATTGATTGAGAGTTATTTAAAATCAATAATAAAAATATAAATATAAATGTATTACTGATTACTATATTTAATCAAATATAAATGTATTAAATAATTAATTAGAGAATCAACTATTTTATAATTATAATTATAGTATTTATTAATTTATTAATTATATATTGATTGATTTAATTTGTTAAATTAAGCAATTTTTAAAATTTTAGTACTTTTAATATGAATTGAATTGAAAGTGATTTAAAGTTAATAATAAAAACTTAAATATAATCAATTTATATTTTGAATTATATTTAAATTAAATATGTATTAAATAAAATAAAATGTATTTATTAGATGTCCGGTAATTTTTAAGACTATCCACATCTTAACATTTTAACCCACCTATATATAATTTTTTCATTTTTGCCAAAAGCTTTAGCTTTTATATATTTATATAATAAAATCAAATGAAATCATATTTAATGAAATATAAAGGTATCAATCAAATATAAATTAATAAAATATTTTATTCCATTAATTTACTTATGAAGAATTAATTTGATATATTTGCTTTATATATTTACACATAAAAATACATTATGAAATACATCAATTACTCAAATAGATACTATATTTAATCAAATATAAATGTTTCAAATAATTAATTAGAGAATCAACTATTTTATAATTGTAATTGTAGTATTTATTATTAATTATATATTGATTGATTTAATTTTTTCAATTTAAACAAATTTAAAATTTTAATATTTTTAATATGAATTGAGTTGAGAGTGATTTAAAATTAATAATAAAAACATAAATATAATGAAGTTGGTTTTTTAAATGATATTTACTTTCTATATTTACACATGAAATGCATTAATTATTGGATACTATATTTAATAAAATATAAATATATCAAATAATTGATTGATTAGATAATCAGCTATTTTATAATTGTAATTGTAGTATTTATTAATTTATTAATTATATATTGATTTATTTAATTTGTCAAATTAAAATTTTTTTAAAATTTTAATACTTTTAATATGAATTGAATTGAGAGTGATTTAAGGTTAATAATAAAAATATAAATATAATCAATTTATTTTTTTAATTATTTTTAAATTAAAAATATATAAAATAAAATAAAATATATTTATTAGATGTCACGTGGTGATTTTTAAGTCTATCCACATATCAATATTTTAAGGCATCCACATAAGATTTTTTTCATTTTTGCTAAAAGTTTTGGCTTTTATATATTTATAAAATAAAATAAAATGAAATAATATTTAATAAAATATAAAATGTATCAATCAAATATAAATTAATAAAATATTTTATTTCATAAATTTAATTATGGAGAATTAATTTTATATATTTGTTTTATATATTTACACATGAAATACATCAATTACTTAAATGGATACTACATTTAATCAAATATAAATGTATCAAATAATTAATTAGAGAATCAACTATTTTATTATTGTAATAGTAGTGTTTATTAATTTACTAATTATATATTGATTGATTAAATCTGTTAAATTAAGAAATTTTTAAAATTTTAATACTTTTAATATAAATTGAATTGAGAGTGATTTAAAATAAATAATATAAATATAATCAATTTATTTTTTAAAATTATATTTACTTTATATATTTACATATGAAATACATTAATTACTGGATACTATATTTAATCAAATATAAATATATCAAATAATTGATTAGAGAATCAATTATTTTATAATTGTAATTATAGTATTTATTAATTTATTAATTATATATTGATTGATTTAATTTGTCAAATTTAAAAAATTTTAAAATTTTAGTACTTTTAATATGAATTGAATTGAGATTGATTTATGGTTAATAATAAAACTTAAATATAATCAATTTAATTTTTTGAATTATTTTTAAATTAAAAATATATAAAATAAAATAAAATACATTTATTAGATGTCACATGATGATTTTTAAAATTATTTACATGTCAATATTTTAAGCTATCCACATAGATTTTTTTTTCTTTTTTGTCAAAAACTTTAACTTTTATATATTTATATTAGATATGATATAAATGAATTTTCCTTCCTCTAAAATTGACCAAATAATTTCACCATTTGGGGAAGTTCCTCATTAAATAAGAGAAAACTAGAGTGATATTGACAATTACATAAACACAACTTTTAACATAAAGCATGATCTAATTTGGTCATACAGAATCTCTAAAGAAAAAAAGAAAAAAAAATAATTTCTCCCCTAAATTAATTATCTTATAAGTTATACCAATATTCCAACCGACAATGAAAAATAATATTTTATGCTTTCTTATCTTGGATGCGGGCCCAAATCAATCGAATGATGTAGAAGTTGCATATTAGAGAGTTAGACTTAGCTTCTTTTTATTAAATGACACATTCCTATTCCAATAAAAAAATCAGTCACACATATGTACATGAGACATATGAATTATGTTTCAATCTCGACAAATTCGAACCAAACCCCAGAAAGTGTATATATATATATATATATATATATATATATATTTAAATCTATCAACATTTTATTTTTTAATAAAACTTATTGATACTTTTTTATTTTTTTTAAACTCATTAACGTATCCAAGAAAAATTTATTTGTTTTTAAAATTTTTTTCTGACAAGTTAATTTTTTATTTATTATATATTCAGAGTTGATTATCAAGCAATATCTTTCAACCAATCAAAATAATGTTTATCTTATCAAAGTTACAGCAAGTCATATCATTTGACCAATCAAAAACTTTTTGTATCTATCTAATAAATATGTTTACTAAATGTGATTACCTAATAATATTATCGAAAAGGGTCTTGAAGATATACTCAAAGTTAAAGATTTTTGTGTATCAAATAAATTTAATTACAACATAAAACTTTGATTATGAAGAATCTATACCGGCCAATCAAAATCCAACTATTTAGATAATATTTTTAGTTAAACCGACAAACCCAAGCTTAACGTTGCTATAAAAGGAGACAAACAGCAACACTTCTTGCAAAGTTATGCGATATTTTTTTCCTTGATTTACACGATGAAGGCTCCAATATTTCTACACAGAGTTGACTCCACTGTGTTATGCGATTCCTGTCCAAATTTGTGTTTCCTCAAGGTAAATTTTATTGTTTCTTACAGTTTTATTAATGTAACTGAAGATTTTCGATCATTGCTCAAATTTGGCTTAATTCTTTCATGCTATACTGTATCTAGCATCAGAATGATAATGCTATCAATTGTCTCTCCTAGCTAGTTGGTAACTTTTCAATAAAATATTAAATTCATCACTTATTCTGTAATGATAAAATCACTCATCAAATTATTATCCAATTATATGTAATAGGTTTTACATTGAATTGTATTAAAATAATTTCCCTTAAATTTATAGGTATAGTTAATATATATATATATATATGATAGTAACAAGCTTTAATGTAATAGAGTTAGCATAAAAAATACTAATTTACCAATTGAGAAAGATACGAATTTTGAAGGCTAAAGTTTAATTGATTATAATGATATACAGATTGCTAGGATTAAAAAAAAAAAAGTCAACTACACATTAGTTATTCAATCATGTAAAATTTAATACTTGAACCATACGTTTTGATACATAGGGTTGTATTTAATAATGATGTTCCAAAAGATAAAAAAAAATAAAAATACTCCTATATATATATATTTTATTTTAACCGTTGAGATAACTCAAAACTTCCAAAAAGACAAACCCATGCCATGTCTAGGGCCAAGGTGTTTGTTAATATTTACGTTATAATAAAAATCAATAAATAAATAAAATTTGCCTGCCTGTAGGGAAATCAAAGGGGACTTACTGAAGGGGGGCAAATATCATTATTAAATAATAATAATAATAATAATAATATAACTATAGCCTCTATCACATCATCTATGTCAATGGAAGCTGTTCTTTTTTCCTCTTGAATTGTCAATCTATAGGTGGGAAAATACTATTTAAGTAGAAACATTTTTTTTTCCAATTATGAAAAATATATAAAAAATAAGTATTAAGTGTAAAAAGTTTTTTTTGATACATTAAAAAAATATATTAAGACAAATAGTGTGTATAGTTTTGAGCAATATATTTTTTTAATGCATATAATATTGTTGTTAACAATTTTAGGTTCCGGTTGGTTTGAAAAAAATATTTTTTTGTTTTATTTTTTAAAAAATATATTTGCTAAGTAAAAATAAAAATTATTTTTAAAAAATGTAAAAATAAATAAATAAAAATATTTAATGATATTATTATTGATACCATCTAATAATAGATATAATATTCATTTATTAATTAATGATATTAAAAAGTATTCAAATATGGTAACTTAAAGAATATAAGGAAAAATAATATACATTCCTTATTTTCATAACTGAAATTTTTTTTTGTTTTTATATTTTAATTTTTTAAAAATGTATTTTAATTTTTAATTATTAAAAATATTTTTACATATATTTTTTATTTTAAAAAATAAAAAAATAATTTTGTTTTCTAAATCCAAACATTACTTTATAATTTGCTAATAAAATAGTTTTTATTTTTAATAATTATATGATTTAATATTTGAAATATAAATTTAAAAAATATTATTGTTATTTTTAAACAAGACAACAGGATAACGACCCCACCTTCACATTGCTTTCTCCCAAGCGCGTCGTTTACGGGTAAAGCTGAAACTCGTTTTGACTCAGTAACCTACTGCCTTTTATTTTCTCTATTAAAAAAAAAAAAAAAAAGGAAAAATCAGTAACTAAATATAGTGTAAAAAAAAAAAGAAGAAGGAAAATAGCAGCAGCTACTGTTAAATTCACAACCAAATAAAAAATTTTAAAAACGTGTGGACGGTGTAATTGTTCAGACACTTTTTCCTCTCTCTTTTTGTATATAAGTAAGAGACTGGTCACAATTTGTTTCTGAAATCTTCAAAGAAGAAAGAGAGGAATCCTCACCCTCTTGACAAAAAAAACCCCATTTCTCGTCTGCAAAAACAAAAACTCTGACAACAGAAAGTAACTGTTTTAGGCAGAGAGACAGAGAGGATTTAAGAGAAAACAAGGCACTAGCTAAAGAAATGATGGGTTGTTCTTTGATTGAGAGATCATCATTTCTATCTTCATCAAAAGTGTTTCTGAATTGTACCAGTAATAATATTACTTCTTTCCAACTAAAGCAGACCCGGTTCCTGGTTAACCCTGTCTTGGTTCCATTGGAGCAAAGGCGGGTGAATTTGAGGAAATTTGCCAAGGCTCCCGTTGTGGCTGCTATTAGTGAAGATTTGATAAAGGCTGTGCAGCCTGATCAAAAGGAAAAAACAGTTGAATTTAAGGTCAGAGCTGCTGTAACGGTCAGGAAAAAGAACAAGGAAGATTTTAAAGAGACTTTAGTGAAGCATTTAGATGCTTTCGCTGAAAAGATTGGAAGGAAGGTTGTTTTGGAACTTATTAGCACTGAAGAAGATCCTAGTAAGTCCTTCTGCTTCTTCTAGATTTGTCTTTAATTGTTCATAGTTTTTTTGCTAAAAAAAAGTGAACATTTGTACCGATCTCTGGTTTTTCTTCATTTGTTTGACTCCCCTTTTTCATCTTTCTGATGCTAAATTTGATCCAAAAACCGTCCCTTTCTCTTGTTGTGTTTACTGTAAAAAGATCTGTTGTTTAATGCTGGGTTTTTTTTTCTTTTTTTTCTGTTTTAATCTTTATAATTTGCAGAAACGAAGGCTCCAAAGAAAAGTAGTGAAGCAGTGCTGAAGGATTGGTCTAAGAAAGCAAACGTTAAAGCTGATAGGGTTCATTACACAGCTGAATTTACTGTGGACTCAAACTTTGGGGTACCAGGGGCAATCACAGTGACAAACAAGCACCAAAAGGAGTTTTTCCTGGAGAGCATCACCATTGAAGGATTTGCATGTGGTCCAGTTCATTTTCCTTGCAACTCCTGGGTACAATCCAAGAAAGATCATCCCGGAAAAAGGATATTCTTCTCTAATCAGGTGTAACGCTCTCTTGCCTTTTTTTCTCGGTAACGCTTGCTTATTTTTTTCTATTCATTAAAATATTTTATTCATTGTTTCCAACTATATCCATATCCCTGTTCATTTTTTTTTCAAATGTTTAGACTTTTTTGTACAATGCCAGCTAGATTATCCTTTTTGTGTTCTTGACAACTGACATATATTCAAGGAGAAAGTATCCAAAAAGGTCAAAAACGTATGTTCCAGCTTTTGAAACTTTATCAAAATACAAAGTTGAAACAATCAGAGCTAGCTGATATTGAAATTTCATTTCATTCCTTTTTCTTACTTAGATTTTCAATTATTTTTATAAGTCAAAGCAAGGAAATTACTTTTCGAACCAAGAAAATGAACCGTGACTCTTTCATATATATTTACGGTGGTAGAATTGGCAATTGGTTGCAATTGAATATGAGTGTGAATCTGGAACAGAAAGTGAAACAAGGGAATAACAGGTTGACTAATTTCCTTAAAATTTGATGGGCGTCGGAATGGGTCATGGTCCGAAGCCATCAACCAAAAAAATTTAGTCAAATTGTTGGCTTTGACGGGCATGACCGGTTCCATAAATGACCGAAAACCACAGTTCCATGATTTCTGATATTTGATTGCCCTTTTTTGAGCAGCCCTATTTACCGAGCGAGACACCGAAAGGTCTTAAAGCATTGAGAGAAAAGGAGCTAAGGGATCTCAGGGGCAATGGCAAAGGAGTCAAAAAACTCTCAGACAGGCATTACGACTTCGATGTATACAATGACTTGGGAAATCCGGACAGGGGAATTGATTTTGCCAGGCCAACGCTCGGAGGTGAAAGCATTCCTTACCCAAGACGGTGTCGCACAGGGCGTGTTCCTACTGAAACCGGTAAATATACATGTATAGTGACCATTTTCATAATCTGATGCCAAATCTAGATAGCTTGTATGCTTTAAGAATTACTATAAAAAATCGAAAAAAGGCACGTGATAAACAAGGCTTCGGATTCTTTAATTACAGGAAGAAAAAAAGTGGTTTCGTTGTGGGAAATTTCTTTATCAATTATAAATGGGAATGGAGCACCATTTTTTTATTGTCTATTTCTGAAAAAAGTTGGTGACCCGAATGAGTGGTCGAGAGTCACAGTTTTTTTCTTCACTTTTTTCTAAAGATTATTTTTTTCCCCTTCGGATATGGAATACATAACTTTTTAATCTCAATATCTTATTTTCAACTAAAATAATTATAATTAAAATTAAAATTTGGGATTTACTGGTATGCCTTTCCTAAACTACTATTCTTCTTTGTAAATGGCAGACATGACAGCAGAGAGCAGAGTTGAGAAGCCATTGCCGATGTATGTGCCAAGAGATGAACAATTTGAGGAGTCAAAGATGAACACTTTCTCTGCGGGGAGGTTTAGAGCAGTGCTTCACAACTTGCTGCCGCAGTTAAAAGCCAGCATTTCAGCCTATAACCGCGATATAAACTCGTTTGCTGACATTGATAGCCTTTACAAAGAAGGGCTCCTCCTCAAATTAGGTTTACAAGAAGAAATCCTGAAGAACCTTCCACTGCCAAAAATAGTCAGCGAAATACAAGAAACTGGTGAAGGACTACTCAAATATGAAACCCCCAAAGTTGTTTCCAGTGAGTAAATTCGTTAACCTATCAAAAAATTTTTTCCATATCCATACAATTTTTTGATGATAGCAAAGTGCACTATAGTACGTACACATTTTACATGTGGGTCAAGAAGTTATTTTGAGAATACTTTGCTAAAGCAACATGTGGGCCACATATGCAGAGGACAAGTTTGCTTGGTTGCGAGATGACGAATTTGCCCGTCAAGCATTGGCAGGTGTCAATCCTGTCAACATCGAGACACTTGCAGCTTTTCCACCAGTAAGCAAGCTGGATCCTGAAATCTATGGTCCACAGGAATCTGCCCTCAAAGAAGAGCACATAGCGGGCCAGCTTAATGGCATGACCGTTCAACAGGTAAATTTTACTGGTAATTTAATGAAATCATAGCGTTCTTAATTACCATATATAGTTCACTATCTTTTTCTAATTGCAAAAGATGTTAATGTTCTTGTATTTGGTGAACTGAATTCAGGCTTTGGAAGAAAACAAGCTGTTTATAGTGGATTATCATGACATTTATTTACCATTTCTTGATGGGATCAATGCGCTTGATGGGCGAAAATCATATGCTACTCGTACCATATTTTTCTTGACTCCTACAGGGACTCTCAAGCCAATCGCCATTGAACTAAGCCTTTCACACACTACACCGCGTTCCCGATCCAAGCGTGTAGTCACACCTCCTGTTGATGCAACTACAAATTGGATTTGGCAGCTCGCCAAGGCTCATGTTTGCTCTAATGATGCTGGTGTCCACCAATTGGTTAACCATTGGTAAGCAAAGCTTGAATTTCTTAACATCAAATTATATTGGTTTTTAACTTGTTTCTATTTGTAAGCCAAAATAAGTGAATTGTTTTGATGATAATAGGTTACGTACACATGCAAGCATGGAGCCCTTTATACTGGCGGCACATAGGCAATTGAGTGCAATGCACCCAATTTTTAAGCTTTTGGATCCACATATGAGATATACACTAGAGATCAACGCTCTAGCTCGCCAAAGCTTGATCTGTGCTGATGGTGTTATCGAGTCTTGCTTCACTCCCGGTCGCTACTGCATGGAGATGAGTGCTGCAGCGTATCGGAGCCATTGGCGCTTTGACAAGGAGGGCCTACCTGCTGATCTAATCCGCAGGTAAATACTGAGCAATCTTTAATTTTATAAACATTGAAAATAGGGAAAAGAAAACAAGTAATTCAACTCCAACAGGAGATCAGTTGTAACAATTGGACATTTTTCTACAAGATCATGAGTTCTTTCTTAAGATGGAATTTATGTTTTGCTACATTTGGCACAATAAAATCTTGAAGTGAATCTAACAGAAGAATTGTCCCTTCATTGTACAGGGGAATTGCAGTACCTGACCCAACACAGCCACATGGTCTAAAGCTCCTAATTGAAGACTACCCATACGCCTCGGACGGGCTACTAATATGGGATGCGGTTGAGAATTGGGTTCGAACATACGTGAACCGTTACTACCCAAATTCAAGCGTAATTTGCAATGACAGAGAGCTACAATGCTGGTACCATGAGTCCATCCATGTAGGCCATGCTGATCTCAGCCACGAGGACTGGTGGCCAACATTGAACACCCCGGATGATCTAGTCTCCATCCTCACCACCATCATTTGGCTTGCCTCCGCACAACATGCTGCCCTGAATTTCGGGCAATACCCTTACGGTGGTTACGTGCCTAACCGTCCACCTCTAATGAGAAGATTAATACCCGATGAAAATGACCCTGAGTATGCTAATTTTCTTGCTAATCCACAAAAATATTTCCTATTAGCATTGCCTAGTTTACTCCAAGCTACAAAATTCATGGCCGTGGTTGACAACTTGTCGACGCACTCACCTGATGAGGAGTACCTAGGGGAACGACAGCAACCATCGACTTGGTCGGGTGATGCTGAGATAATTGAGGCATTTTTCGGGTTTTCGGCTGAGATCAGACGGATAGAAAAGGAGATTGACAGAAGGAATGCTGATCCTAGCCTCAAGAACCGATGTGGAGCTGGGGTGTTACCATATGAGCTGCTTGCACCTAGCTCAGACCCTGGGGTAACATGCAGGGGCGTTCCGAACAGTGTCTCAATATGATCCAAAATTGGAATCATGGTGCTCAAATTTAAATTTTTTGTAATCAAACTTAGGAATGTAATTTATTAGACCTTTGAGCTGGATCCCAATAGCGGTTGGTAATGGATATAATTATTTTTAAACTAGGTGGTATATAAAATAGAGCTTGTAAGCATACTTTTGCATCATAACATTATAAATATTATGCAATCAAATTAAGGTTTGGCTGGTTCAAACACATTAGTTATCCCTAAAGTTTTAATTTAATTTCAATTTCTCTTCTTTTTTTTTTTGCAAATGCAATATTTAATTCAATGACTTTTACAAGCATGTCAAGTTCATCTTTTTGTTTGTGACATGTTAGTAGGTAATAGAAATTACAAGGATATTGTTTGAAATGTTTTGGCTTCATTCATTTGATATAAGTGCACGTATTAAAGAAAACAAAATGTATATTTACATTTGATATGGATAAAAAAATCAACACTGTTATCTTTCATAAAATTTAAAATGTGATATGATTAGTTTAAAAATTCAACTTGAATTCGCTTAAATCCAAAAAATTTGACTTTTAAATTATCTAAACCCAAAAATGATATGGCTCAAAATGTTCTAACACAAACCATGCGTTTGTCACCTTAATTGAGACCGACAAGACACCAGGGAGGTAAAGGAAAATCGATTTCCACGTTGGTGCATGTTTTCACAATATAATCATCCCAAACTTCAAAATTTTTGACATTGCTAAACATATTCCAACCGTTTACTTATGGACACTACTCGATGCTCGATGCTCGTGTTATCGGTGCATTGTTCCACAACGTATTTATTTAGATGAATGATGAAATTAATTATGATGAAATTAAAAATAATAATTAAATTATTATAATTATAATTAAAAATTTTAATAAAAAAATTATGCTGAATGAATTTTATTGAAATTAATATTTAAATTTAATTAATAATATGATAAATTTAATCATATTATATCTAAAATGTGATTAAATCCAAACGATCGCTTAACTAACCCTCACTCAATGAATAATACAAAACAAATCATGCATTAATAAGGTTCGAGACCAAAACCATTTTTCGTTGAATTGGATGATTTTATTGATTGAGCTAACTTGCAGTCAGTTTGTCTGAATAATATGGAAGTTGCAAAGCCCAGGACCATAAGATAAAAGTTGGGCCAGTTTGGGCCAAGATGCTTGGCATTCGGCAAATGGTGAATACTTTTTCCCTCATTTTACCGTTACATCTGTGGAGGATGGAATTGATAAAAGATTTGATTATGTAGATAAATATTTTTTGGAAAGAATAGAAAACAAAAACTTTATAATTAACTTAAAATGCAAAAGTGATTAAAGGTGGATTCATTATATGCAAAAATTTTTAAAATGAAATAGTTAAAATTGAGTTTTTGAATGGAGTTCATTTTTTATAATTTAATAGCAAAATTTTTTTATTTTATAAACAAGATTAAAAAATTATACAATTTTCAGTATATTTTAAAGAATATGTATCACTTATGAGTCTAAAACCTCAATATATGAGATAATGAGATAATTTATAAAAAAAATAAAAGTAGTTCCCAACTTATAATTGATGGCCATGTCATTTATATCATAAAAATAATTAAGAGGAATAATTTAGAAAGAAGGTTACAATATGAATGCAGGGATGTGGGGCTAAAAAGATCTTTTACCTGTGTTTATTATAGTTTTATACTCTCTTTTGGATTTTTACAGCTTTCTTTTCTCTCTTTTGGCTTCTTGGTGTAGTGTCTTTGTATTGTTGTTTCCTTTTTTTTTTTTTTTTAAGCTGAGTTTATAATTGTTGTTACTTCATTTTACCAATCTGTAACGTTTGAGACGATTGAAATTTTTATTTCTATTTTGCACACGTTTGTTTCATTTGATTTCCAATACTTCATCTACATTTGTTTGGATTTGTTATGGTTTTTAGGTAAGATTTTTTTTTTTTTTCATTTGGTTTACATGCATGAATTTAATTGCATGCATTCGGAAAGAATTATCCAGAAGCTATTGGTTGTGTGAATGTAGTTTTATTTTGGTGTTATATTTTGTTTTTGAGTTTCTACTGTTTTGGTGAATGTAATATCGTAGCTTACAGTATTGAGGTTTACCCCTTTTGATATGTTTTTTTTCAAAACCTTTATTTAAATAGCCATTTCTAAATTAACTATACATCCAACTGCTATAAGGAATGACATCAAAAGCTAGCCTTTCTTTTTTTTTTTTTAATCCAAGAAACCAAATCACAAAGCTCATTAAATCTACTCAATATATTAAAGTGCTTAACATAGTAGTATAAGTAACAACATTAGACCTTAAAGCTCTTGAATTTTAGCATTTTTTAAAAATCCAAGTGCAACTTCATGTTTCCCAATCTTACCAAAACCAGCAATAAGAATTGGATTTGAATTTGTTTGACTCCAATTAAGAGAAGAGATGGATAACTGAGCTTGTTAAGGTTTATTTGACATTGAAACATTATATTTGATAATTGTGAAGGAAAAAGGGTATTTATGGTTTTCCTCTTTTAAATCTTACTTAGTATCAGGGGATATTAAGGATGCAAATGTTTGTAACGAAATTAAAATTAAAAATGGTATTCCCTAGTGCTGTATTTAATGAACTTGATAGTCAAGAGCAAATTCAAATAAATTATAGTGGAAATTATGTTTTCACTACCAAATTACAGCAACTAATTTTGTCCCAAAGTCTTTGTTTGAGCAGTTTAGAATGGTTTCAAACATACACTTTCTTGATATAGCATGTGTTTCATTTAGTCCATTGGCACCGTACTCAGCACCTTGCATTATTTTGCTCTTGATTGTGGTGATTGGAGCTACAATGGCCAAAGAAGGTGTGGAAAATTGAAAGTGACGCTTGACTTTTTCCTTTTGATGTTATGGCTTTGAGCTTCAACGCCCTTTTCCCTCTTTTTTTTTTTTTTATTTATTACTCGTTAGTTTGCTTCCTAATGAATGCGTTAAGTTCAAGTTGTATTCAGTAAAAGAAAAACAAAAAAGAAATTGACTCTTTTGTATTGAGTGGAAATAATTGAAATAAGAATTAATTTAAAGTAAAACATATGCATTTAATGAATAGGAGAAATTATGCTATAAACTAAGTAAAAAATTTTCACATCGTGATTGATAAATTTGTTGCATCACATGATATGCCATCAAATTTCATGACTAAGGTCTTGGTCTTTATGTTGTTCCTGAAAATATCTGCTACTATTATTGTCATGGGAATTTTAATTTGCTTTTTCATATTAATAGTGGGAAGATGACTTTGCACTTTTATTTGTTATTAATCTGATTCCAAAATAGATGCAATATGATTGACTTAAGCACTTTAATTCAACACCTACAATGACTTGATCTATAAATATTAAATTTTAAAAAATAAAAAATAAGTTCAAAGGATATACATCGAATTTTATCCAGAACAATCCAATATTATTGATCTGAATCTTTTTTTGCACGTGATCCGAAATCTTTATTTTTCGAACTCGTTATACGATCAATTTTACGAAGTTCTAATACATAAACTAAAACTCATAATTTAAAGTGGTCCGATTAAAGCTCAATGGGTAGCTCTTTTGAAAGATCCGTTCAATGCCTAAACAAAATCCATTTCTCAGCCCGAAATGAGGCCCAATAGATTCTTGGAAGCCCAAACCCAAATTGAAACAAAAGAAAGGGGAGAGGAAGTCATCTGGTTTCCTTCACGTTAACGCATGAGCATGTACGTATGGGTGAGACATCCAGCTAAAGACAAGCTGGTTTGCTGCAGCAGAGGGTAGGACGATCACTCCTGCAACAGACAAAAGACAATGGTCAGTGGGTTGATACAAGTAGTGGAGGAAAGCACACGAGAAAAAAAGCTGTTGTTGTTGGGAGGAATCGGTAAGAAAAGGTATCCCTCGTGTTTCCTTTCTAGTTTGCTTTCCTACATGTAAACTTTGTCATTTCCGTGAATAATGCTTCTGTGTCCTTTCTATCATTCACAAAGGTTAGGTTTCCATGATTAGATGCATGTGTTTTTTGTTAAAATGACAAAAAAAAGTACATTTCTTAAAAAAAATGGTTATCTTCGTGAAACGTTAAATAAAGAAAGGTAAGAACACTTTTGGGGTTCAAAAATCGATTTCTTAGTAAAAGTTTATGAAACAAGAGAAGCTTGAACATCTAACAATGAGGTTTTCTTTTGAAACTGCAAGCCACATGTGGGAGCATTTTTTTTTTTAGAAAAGTCTGAAATAATAGGGAGTTCCATCCCAAGTTTGCTAAAAAAATTTTTGTGTTTTCATCTTTGCTAATATGGTTTCGTCTAAAATGTGGAAGCTTTTTTTAGCATCTAAAAACTTCCAATAAATAAAGTGAAAGGTAGGAGTTTTGAAGGCTATGGGCTTGTTTCGGTTATGCTTTTCTTTTGGCTGTCCATGTGGGTCCAAGGTTGCAGCTTTGTCTCATGCCTGCTAGTTTTTTTTGGATAAAGTGTCTTCGTGAGCTTGCTCTTTTTTTTTTATAAACTGTAATGCATACAAATTACGCCACTCTTGCTTTCTACATGCAATCTATATGCAAAAGCACGACGCTCCATTATCTTGGTACCTCACTGTTCGTTTTTTTTCCTACAAACGGTCAAAGTTTGTTCCTTTTGTTTCCATGATCACTATTCTTGTAAAAGGGTTTGCTCGCACGAGCCTGAGGCCTCGTTTTGCTTTGGAAAACTTCAACCCTCCCTCTATTCTTGCGTGTGGCATGGCTCTAACTTTCTTTTATTACTTTCGGCTGCTGCAATGTTTTGGTTTTTATAACTCACTTATCAATGTGAATGGTCCAGTGTCAATTGAGTTTGTTTCCTTTTCCTTTACGCGCCATGTCCATTTTTAGCTTGATGCCATGGATATTGTTGTCCATACAGTTCCAAATTTGGTTATTTGATGCTCTATTGTACCGGGTTATTGATCTTTAAATAGTCATTGGTCTACTAGTCCTTGTTGCGCGATAGCTACTTGTGAGAAAACATGAGTGTTTTTTTTTTTTTTAATAATGCTGTCCCACCTAGTTCAAAGCCATCTCTTATTCTTTTTTTTAGATTGTTCACAACTTTACAAAGGTTTGAAAAGATGATGAAAATTCGTTTATTTACCATATAGCTTATTTCCATGCATGTTTTATATCAACTTCATATTATTTGCAACTTATTATAGGTTTAATTAAAGTTGAATTCCATGCATTTTTTATTAATGAGCTGGTTAATTTTCTATAATTACTTTAATTTTTATGTAATTTAATTTCCATACTTTAGTTGATCTTAAATGTAAAATAGTTCCCATGCACTCTTGGTTCATGCATAACAATAATAATAATAGTACTAATAATAATACAAATGAAAATTTTTTAAGATGAGATTTTAAGAAAGTCAAAGTAATGGTTTTTTAAAATCTATAGGTGAGAATATTTTTTTTAAAAAATACTACCAAAGTAATTGAGTATTTAAGAAAATATTCAATACATAAAATTTTCATTATTTTATCTTCCTAAAAATATTTTTTTAGTTAAATGATTTTATAGATAAAAAAAAGAAAGGATAAGGGGAGAATAATAAAGCATAATTATTCTTCTTAATAATGAAATTAATATAACAATGCATGAATGTTATTAACTATTTTTGCTTTTTAAAAAATATTAATCATTAACAATAATAGAAATTAAAAAATTTTAGGATAAATAATAATTAAATAATTACATAAGAAAGGAAAAGTAAATGCAATATCTGAAAATAGGATTCCAAGGAACTTTAAATAGATATTCTTAAGAAATCTTTAGGTGAATTTTTTTTTTAAAATACCACTAAAGTATCAAGGTATCTAAAAAAAATTTCAATAAAAAGATTTTCTTTACTTTGTTTCTTTTAAAAATTACTAATAATTAAAAATATTAAAATAAAATTAAAACAAGTAACGAAAAGTGTAACATAAAGAAAAGTAGTATATGTTTTTTTTTCATGTGCATATTATACTTTATTGTTTTGTAATACATGATCTTAAATGTAGATGAAATTTTTGATGATGAGAATCTAAAAAATATGAGTAGTGATTTTCATGAATTTTTAATGTGAGAAAAGTCTTTTAAAAATTACTAAAGTATTGTCATATTTAGAAATTTCTCTTCAATATGAAAAATCTCTATTTTATTATTATTTTCTTTAATTTGAGTAGCGTTTTTATATAAAACTATGCATTTTTTTAAATACATTTATTTATGGATAATAATACTATTACATGATTTTTAAATATCAAAGCAAATGAAAAATCTCCAAGGATGATATTCAAAAAAAATTTGAGTAATGATTCTTTAAGAATTTTTAGGTAAAAAAATTTATTTAAAATACCGCCAAAGAATTAAAACATTTAGATTAATTATTAATAAAGATTTATAGTTTGTTTATAAATGGCATAGAAATAGTTTTTAGAAAATATTATTTGATTTTAAATTATAGAGATTATACTTTAAGATTTTTTAAAAATATAAATAATGAAAATAAATATGAATTGCAGATGATAGGATTTTTAAGAATTTCAAATAACAATTTTTAAATATTCCTTAAGTGAAATGGTTGTTTTTAATATTGTTAGAGTATTTGAATATTTTAAGAAAATTTTTAATATATAAGGTTTCTATTTATTTTTCAAGCATACTAAAAAAATAAAAATATATTTTAAAAGAAAAATAAGGAAATTAAATTTTAAATATCAAAATTAAAACTCTTTTTGTTAAAATTGAAAGATAACTATAATTAATTAATATCATTTTTAACGGGTATTGTGAGTACGTTAATCATTTCTCGCACGTAATCAATTTTTGAACTCAAATTATTTCATAAATCAAAAAATTATTTTTTTAATAAAATTTTAATTAATTTTAAAATTTTTAATAAAAAAATAAATTTTAATAGGTAATCAATTACACTTACTAAAAAAAATTAATAAAGACTCTTTTTTGTTTTTAAATTTGTTTAATAACTCTCAAAACCGTTGCGATAAAAGAAAATTCATGACAAAAATGCTATATTTGATGGTTTAAACTCTTGAGCTTCTCAATAATAATTAATGTTTTTTTACCTGTAATGAGAAGTTTTTTTTTTTTTTTTTTATGTTTTGTTACGATTATAAAAATGAATATGCATCAATTTTAGAGTTTGTGGAAAAAAATAATTTTGGTGTGAAGATCGAGATCGTTTCTTGATTTTTTTTTTTTTTTGAAATTGTTTATGAAATGATCATTTGCATTCATGTCAAAATCATGGTTCGGATTTAAGGCATAGCAAAAACACTTTGGCAAGTTGAGGCATCCATATGAATACTTTAAAGTCTTGGTGATCATATTATAATAACTAAATAAATCATTAAATCATTTTTTTTACTTTACATTATTTAATATTTAGATTAACACCAATATTTATTTTACTTCCGTAGTAAAATGGGAACTTAAAACCTAATTTATATTTAAAACACGTCTCTCATTTAACATATTTTCCTTCCAAAATTCAATGATAGAAAATTTTATATAATTTAGAGTTTTCTCCTCAATAGGGACTTGCCCATAAATAAATTATTTCGTTGATGACACAATTAGTTGATGTATCACCATATCGATGCAATATATATAAAAGTAATGCTATAACATTTTAGTTTTTTTTTTTTTTTAATCTTTTGATGCAGTAACATCTTATATAGTTATTTTTAAATAATGAGAGAAAATTTGATATTAAATCAAACAAAACAATCAAATTTGACATAAACAAAAAATTTTAATTAATTAAATTAAACAAGTGATGATGCTATCGTCACCTCCCACATGAATCCAGATGTCAGCAAAAATAATTTTATATACTCCAAGTGGCTTGTTTGATGACAGATTCGGATCAAGTCATTGTCCATATTTCCTTTGTATTATTATGATATCTTTTGAAGAAAGAATAACGCAACGACGACGTGGGCCCGGTATACTTCCACTTAAATTGAATGATTAATCTCTTTTTTCTTGTGAACGATTTTTTTTTTTTAATTTTAAAAAAAATACTGGTATGAGTAGCCTAACGTGAAATAGTAAATATATAAAGTTGAATTTCGAACAATAAATATGTTTATTAATATTTAAATATTTTTGTGGAAAAAATTAAGTGCTTTAGATTTTTATAAAATAAATGTAAATATTAAATATTTTATTTATTAAAGAAATTAATTTAAATAAAAAAGAAGAATAAACAAAACAATGGCATTTAATTTCACAAAATAATTATTATTGAAATTATATATTTATTATTAACAAAACGGTAAAATATAAAAAAATTAGAATATTAATTTAATGTTTTCATATTCTATTAATTGATTATTTGAAAAAAAAAAAGGTAAAATATAAAAAACTAGCGCATTACATACACACACGTGAAGTTGGGTTTTCCACATAATGAATAAAAATTTTGAATATCAACAATAATGTGATTTATTAATAGAATATTAAAATTTTAATTTTAACAAATAAAATTTAATTCATAATAACTTTGCATACAAGAAAATTAAATATTTAGTTTTTTATAAAATAGTTTAAATAAAAATAAAATAAAAAATTATCAAATTAATTTTAATATTTTAAAACATTTAATTATTTTTAATTGAAATTTTTTTATGTCTTAGTCGTATTTTTAATTGAAAATTGCCTGAAAGAATACAATTAAGCAAGTATGGTACCATAAATAAAAGGAGTTTATCGAAATAAGTTCCTAACTTAGATGAAATTTCTGATTTATTAATTATAGTTTTTTTGGGGTTTTAATAGAAAAAAAAATGAAAAAAGGAAGTAATTAAAATTTTTAAAAGTCGTCGTGAAACACATATGTCTATGCATTTCGAGTGCCACTACTAAACATATGGGGCCATCGGCTGCTCTGACATAGGTCAATTTTAAGTGCCCTTTAATTGCTTTAATCATTTCATTAAAACACCAATATCTATTCGGACAAGTGACAAGTAATTTAAATTAAAAATTTTTTTTTTAAGTTTTAGAAATAAAAAACATAAATTAAAAAAAATTTTTATAACATTTAATTTGATTTTAAATTAATTAAAACTCAAAATAACTATAAGATAAATAAGAAAAAAAAATCATTTCATTAATACTTCCACGAAATTGCAGGCGAAAGCTAGTCGATACGTAGTCAGTCAATGCATCAACATTTATACCTAACCAATTCAGGCATTTTTTTTAAATGGAAAGGGGGTTTAGGGCTTAACCTACTCCACTTATCTGAATCCTTTTGAAATTCAGATTAAATCTTATGGAAAAATTTGCTTGTAAACTAACCGTGACATGTTTATATATTCTGCAAATTCATGAAGTTGACTCTCTCTGATAATGCATTAAAAATTTCAATGAATTAAATGTTAATTTTTTAGCAATTTAATTTGTTCAATTCATTGCGTTTGATAACCCATAGCAAAAGTCATTTAATAGAATTTTTTTAATATCATCTTGTTTAGTTTTTAATTAATTTTTAAACTTTAATCTTAATTATCTTAAATATTTAATTAAATTTAAATTTAACACACACACACACACATATATATATATATATATATATGTCCACGATTAAATCTCACCATTTCCAAGCCTAAGAGGAGAGACAGGACAGTCAATTATTTAGTTCGATAGAAGGATCAATTGGCCATGGGGAACTCCATCCACTTCGATTCAAGCGAGAAACACATCCCGTTCCATCCCTTGTCCCCAACCATACAAAAAACGACAATGTGAAAATAGTTATCCCAAACTTAAAATATAATTTGGCCATAGACTTTGATCCTTTGCTTTGCTTTGCTTTGTTGTCTATAAATACAACTTCATCACACTCGAACCATATAGCTACATCATAATCACCTCCATTACCATCACTATAACTAATGGAAACCCCATCTTGGGCTTCTTACTTAACAGCATGGCTTGCCACTCTAGCCCTCATCCTCCTCTCCCTCCGTCTCCGCCGCCGTCGAAAACTCAACTTGCCCCCTGGACCAAAGCCCTGGCCTATAATCGGCAACCTAAACCTCATCAGCTCTCTTCCCCACCGGTCTATCCATGCCCTCTCCCAAAAATATGGGCCCATCATGCAACTCAAATTCGGGTCATTCCCTGTTGTCGTGGCCTCATCTGTTGAAATGGCCAAAGCCATCCTTAAAACCAATGATGTTATCTTCGCTGGTCGACCCAAAATTGCCGCAGGCAAGTATACTACTTACAATTACTCTGATATTACTTGGTCACCCTACGGTCCATACTGGCGTCAAGCACGAAAAATGTGCCTAACCGAACTTTTTAGTGCAAAACGCCTAGAGTCATACGAGTATATCCGAAGAGAAGAAATGAATTTGTTGCTAAAAGGGTTGTACGAATCATCAGGTACACCAATTCTTTTGAAAGACCATCTTTCGAATTTGAGTCTCAACGTAATTAGTAGGATGGTGTTAGGGAAAAAATACACTGAGGGGAGTGGTGAAAATGAGATTGTGACCCCGAAGGAATTCAAGGAGATGCTCGATGAGTTGTTCCTGCTTAACGGGGTGCTAGATATCGGCGACTCGATTCCATGGCTCAGTTTCCTGGATTTGCAAGGCTATGTTAAGAGAATGAAGGCCCTGAGCAAGAAGTTTGACAGATTCTTGGAGCATGTTTTGGATGAACATAACGCTAGGAGAAGAGGAGTTAAAGATTATGTGGCTAAGGACATGGTGGATGTGCTTTTGCAGCTTGCTGAGGATCCCAATCTTGAAGTCAAGCTTGAAAGACATGGAGTTAAGGCATTTAGTCAGGTGACGATTACTTCTCTCTCTAAAGATAATCTTGTAGCCAATTGATTTATTTTTATTGAAATTTCTGGTTGTGTACTACAAAATAAACCAAGTACAGACGTTCTTGGATCGTCTGTTCACCTTCTTGGCTGGCTTAAAATGACAGGTGGCTTGCTCAGTCTTGGTCTAAATAAATTTCCTGAATAAGGTCAATAGATGACATGAGATTCCCCTAGCTGGCCAGTGGGCCTATATTCAATTAACAAAAGGAGGGACTGCCTAATAACGTGGTCTTACTATGAGTGGTTTTCACAGTCGGTAGTCGGTAGATGCAAAACCAAGTGAGGTTTCCTTAAATTATAAGAAGTCATTGTTTATTGCAGTTATTGGAGGAGACGTGGACGAAACATTGATATGATGTCTGTTGTTGTGTTTCTTTGTTAGCTCCTTGCATTCACTCTTTTTTTGTTTTTTTGTGTACTGTTTTTGGCTTGTCGTTATGAAAGTCTTACCTGTCTGCTGATGGACAATGACTTTATACCTACCAGATCATTTTCGTCGACTGTGAGGGGAGTTTTCATTTTGTACAACATTAGCTAATGTTGTCACTTTTCATTGATATGAGTTGATGATATTTCAGGACCTGATAGCTGGTGGAACCGAGAGTTCAGCAGTGACTGTGGAATGGGCGATTTCGGAGCTCTTGAAAAAGCCAGAAAATTTTGCAAAGGCCACGGAAGAACTAGACAGGGTAATTGGAAGGGAAAGATGGGTAGAAGAAAAAGACATTGTGAACCTACCCTACATCAACTCAATTGCTAAAGAGACAATGCGTTTGCACCCTGTGGCACCAATGCTAGTGCCTCGCCTTGCTCGCGAAGACTGTCAAATAGCTGGTTATGACATTCCCAAGGACACTAGAGCTCTTGTAAGCACTTGGACAATCGGGAGAGACCCTACTCTTTGGGATAACCCTAATGAATTTTGCCCTGAGAGATTCATTGGGAAGACTATTGATGTCAAAGGTCATGACTTTGAGCTGTTACCATTTGGGGCTGGAAGGAGGATGTGCCCTGGATATCCTCTCGGGATTAAGGTCATTCAAGCAAGTTTGGCTAATCTTTTACATGGATTTAATTGGAAATTGCCCAGTAACGTGACAAAAGAAGACCTCAATATGGAGGAAATCTTCGGGCTCTCCACCCCTAAAAAGTACCCACTTATGGCTGTCGTGGAGCCTAGGCTCCTACGTCATATGTACTCCCAGTGATTATTATTATTATTATACATCTTGATTTCAGTCTCTTGGAAATAAAATCGAGACTCTTAGAGTAGGTCAAAATTATGGTCATGGGTCTTGTAATAACATCTTTTACTTTTTGATGATGGCAGGCAGTTATGTTATGCGCGCTTGTTGTCTCGTCCCCTTCCAATTTCAAGTCTCTCTTTATCCTTTTTTTACAGTAATAATAAAATCTTCATCAAAATCCAATGATGTTTTCTTTTGCCAATGTTGGGCCAAGTTTGGTGAAATTATTTAGGCCCGATAAATTTTGGGGTCCAAACTAGATTTTGAGGTTGGACCTTGCCCCAACCCGAATCACTATTTTAATGATTTAAAATAATAAAATTAATTACAATTTCATAGTATATTTTTATATAAACTAGAAAATTCCCCTGACGTTGCCTGGGTTAAAACTTTTTTTTTTTCATAAAATATAAATTTTTAAAATTTTTAGCTTAACAATTATATGAAAATTTAAATTCACACATTCTCAAATAAAATGATAATTGATTAGTAAAATATTTAAATCTTCTTAAATTTTTTAATTATTTGAAATTATAATAATTTTATATAAAATAAAAATTGATCTAAATATGTTTAATAACATGTGTATATGATTTTCGTTTATTTTAAATTTTTTATAATTAATTGAATTTAATTCTCAAGTTAAAATATATATATGCATATATTGTTTTCAAAAATTAATATATTATTATTATATTTAAATTTATTATTTTATTATAATATATAATGTTTATTTATTTATTTATTTTTAAGGGTAATAAAAAATATGTAGATTAAAAAAATAGAGAATGAGATATTTTTTGGTCCAAAACATGATGAAATAAAATTTTCATTTGATTTAAGCTTTTAGCGCAAATAAAATCATTGGATTTGATTTCACTTCTATTCCATTTTCCGTAACAGTTTCAGTTCATTTCACTTCCTGCTCATCTCTCATAATAAATAATGACATTTTTAAAAATTGATTCTCAAATCATTTTTAATGGCAATATTTACGTGACTTTAAAATTTGGAAGAGGGGATAATTTGAATAATTTGTATAGATTTCAATGTATGAGATGAATTTTTTTTTATATTTTTTAAATAAACAAATACTATGTAATATCTTAGCCATTTGGCAAGTTTTACCCATCATTTTTCTTTAATAAAAATTCCTCATTTAAAACCCAAATTGATATGCTAGGTGCTGAAACCCCATTTTTTTTTTTTCATTTTCTTTAGCCAATTTCTTTTAGTCAAATTTGGGTTTTTCAATTGTTGCTTTTTCATACTTGTTGAGTTACATCTATTTTCTACTTCTTGAAAATTTAAATAAAAAACAATTCATAAATATATGAATACATACATGCACGCATGATGTGTTTGTCAGTTTGTGTGTGTGAATATATAGAATAAGAGTCATAGTAAAAAATGACTCTTTTAGAGTCGATAATTCAATCCGCTCCCAATAAGTTTTGATTAGATCTAACCTCATAAGATTGAATTTTTTTTTTAAAAAAAAATCGAGTTTCGAATTAAATCGGATTAAATCGGATAAGACTAAGAAAAAAAAATAGAATCGAGTCGAATTCAAGTTTTAAACAAATCCAATTCAACATGATATTATATAAAAATTATTTTTAATTATTTAATTAATTATTTATTTATATATTTATATAATTATATATTTAAATATTTTATATTTTAAAAAAATAATATTTTATTAATTTCGGATTGAATTGAATTTGAATATGAAAAAATAAAAAATTTAAATTAAATCATATTCGAATTTAATAAAATATAAAATCAGATCGAATTTTGGACGAACAAAAATCCGTCTTTAACTCGACCCGTCCGTTGCCAATATTATCTTTGCATTGCTCGTCAAAGCATTAAAGCATGGGCTGGTAATGTGGGCTTGCTACTGCAACTAAAAGGACCAGTTGGTCCAATCACCAGCCAATCCATTGCCCTAATATTTTGTCATGAGAGGGGAGAGGAAAAAATGACCAGGCAGCCATTGCTTTATGCAAGAAATATTCAAAGATTAACCAACCAGTTGATATTTTTAGAAATGAAAAACACAGTCAGTTGTCTCTGATCCGAATAAGAAAATACCCTTTAAGTATTTTTCTAATGGAATCATTCTCAATACTTGCTTCCTCTCTGTATCTGATGATCTGATAATAGAATTTATTTGCAAAAAAATGAATGGAAAAAGTAAGCCCATCAAAGAATCTGCATTAGTCAAATCGAACCCCATAACACGATTTAAGGGGTTCATGGTCATTATTCTTGGGACAAGATTGATGTTCAACTAGTTTCTGAATCACAAGCTTGTTATGCTGGCAGTCCTGTTCCAATATGCAGATCCATATACCTTAATGGCTATAGCAAAAAGTTCATATTTCCTTTTTGTTACTCATTTAAGAATGAGTTTAGGACATTGATGGATCAAGTTCTTTCTGAAGATTACTTGGTTATCTATCCACAAATTGACTATTTCAACGTTCTTTACTTGTCAACTGTTTTAAATCCGAACATGCACGTGTTAAGTATCTTGTTAGAAAATTGAGAAATAAAAGAATGTCAAACTATATTGAAAATTTGTTTAATAAGCAAAAGCAAGAGCATACCTGCTTAAAATATGGTTATAAGAATGTCAGCCATACCTCAGAATTACGTCTGCTTTGTAGAAATTTGCAAGAGAACCTTCAACATATGACACATATAGCGTGTTGTAACAGTTTTTAATTTAAAAAATGTTTTCAACTGTGAATCATAGTTTTTCCACCTATCTCATATATATTACTACATTTATCAGCATAAATTGTGCAGTATGAATTCAGCAATGGTTTTTACCAATTCAACACGATTAACAGACTTATTTAATATGCAAAGTGTTCCTTGAGGATTTTTCCTCTTTTATTTCGTTTCATGTTTTGAACATTTCTGCATAGCTTTCCCACATATAGATTTATCGATTCGAAGCCTCCTATACGCAAGTTGTGCAGTATGAACATTAATTAGGCATCTAATGGTTGAATATATATAGTTTTAACTGTTTGATTTTTGTATTGGTTTCACACTAATGCTGGATAACACCTGTCGAGTCATGCCACTAATTCTTATTCCTTGCCTCATTTTTCTACTTGTTGCCAAGAAATTCTTGTACAACTTCTTCTTTTACTAAGAATTATTAACAAAGTTTCCTCAGAAAAAAAAAAAGAACTATTAACAATGAAGAGTTATAAGTTAACTAGAAGGGGAAATGCTAAAAACTGGTGCCGTGCGCGCACTGTATCTGGCTAGAGGGCGAGGATGGGATCGGTGGAGTGGTGGAATTGCAAAGTCTTGTGCGGTAATTAGTATAGCACGAAAGAATTTGTAGCTAAGCTTTTGAAACTCTGAATCAGACTCATGCAAGGAGTCACTACTCACCACCTCTTGGTTTGTTAACAAGACTTTGAACATCCCACACGCTGGATTTTTCAGTTTATCTGATTATGGAATATTGTTGTCCATTCAAAATTTCACAGCGGAAGCCAATGAAGATTTTGCATACAATCCAGAAGAGTTTTAGGAAAGTTTGCTCTAATGAACATTGTCCCCAAAAAATGAATTTCAGTCATTTGGCTTTCAAGAAGTTTCAGGGAAAGTCAGAAGTTTTGTCATGTTGAAAGGATAGAAACCCTGCCGATATTATTGCAGAAAATTTTAGTTCATTTGAAAATGTTTGAATCGTACATAATCTATCGTCAAACCTTATCCTTGTCCCACAAGCATGTTTCTGGTAAGGGGATGAAAACAAACGCATAGAATGTGTTTTATAAGTAAAAACAATCATGTTTTTTTCACAGGAAAAGATATGGAAACTCTGGAAAAATTGGATCACCCGTATATCCTACGGCAAAATGCAATAAGTCCACCAACAAACAAAATGGAAACTTCAGTTATTCCATCAGTTTTCCCGACTTTCTAAAGAGATTGACAATGAAAGGGATGGAAAAACAAATATAAAAATAATAAAAATAAAAAAGACACCTCAATGTACAGTGTGATTAAAAGTATGCTTGTCCGCCTCTCTTTAACTAAATCCTAGAGTTTTATACAAAATCAGTGTCCGAATAGACAGCCCGAGACCTTAATGGTTTAACCCGATGTCCATTCCTTCGAGTCTTCGACCTTTTTGGCGCTGCAATCGACATTTATCTTTCTTTTCTCCTTTTTCCCGCCAATTTTTTCAATTTCTAACTCATCACATTGCTTTTCCTCTGTTTCATCAATGTTCTGAACAATAGGCTCCTTATTGCCTTGAGTTGGAACTATGTATACAAAGGGTCCAATTGGGATGTCAGTCAAGTCCAGGAGAGGCTCTAAGGCCTTGACCACATTGCTCATAGTTGGTCTAGATTTGGGGTGGTTGCTCAGACACTGATAAGCTAACGCAGCTGCCTTCCTAGCCCCCTCAGTTGAGTACTGTCCTTCTAGTTTTGGGTCCATTATTCCATCAAGTTTACAAGGGTCCTTCAACAGAGGCCGTGCCCATTCTACAAGGTTCTTCTCTCTACCAGGTAGCTTCTTGTACACGGATGGCCTGCCTGTCAGCAGTTCTAGAAGTACTACTCCAAAGCTGAACACATCGCACATAGTCGTCAAATGCCCTGGAAAACCAGAAATCGCATTAATTCTTGTTAACTATTATTAAATTAAGAATGATATCAGCAAAACTGAGATAAGTTTCTGTTACCAGTCGTTATGTATTCAGGAGCTGCGTAGCCTTCCGTGCCCATAACGCAAGTGGTTACATCAGTTTCTTCTCCTTCTGGACCGTCTGTTGCCAATCCAAAATCAGAGACCTTTGCGTTGTAATCCTGACAATAAAATAAACCGTTTTCCTTTCAGTTCCTGTTCAGTCTTTACTGGTATATAACAACGTATTGGACAATTAATATTCCTTTTTTAATATTAAGCTATGGAAATTTTACCAAATCTAATAAGATGTTTGAAGTTTTGACATCCCGGTTTATGACTGGCTTCTCTTCTTC